AACCGCGTGGCTCGCACCACGGCTGTGCCCCAGGGACCCGAAGGGATCTGGGGATGGCTGTAGCCTGGCACCGAACTCACTCACACCAGGGCTTTTATGAAAGGACAGACCAAATACGAGCTCAGGGTCCTCCCTCCTCCAGGACAGACCGTCAGTTTCCCATTGAGTTCCTCTGTGCCTTTGGGCTAAGCAAAGGGGGTGAAAAATCACCCGTGGCATCCGACCACGGCACCAACAGGCGCAGACCTCTGCACTGCTGCGATGCTTTCTCAAGGACGCCATCAATTCACAGACAATATCACAGTGTCTTCTACTACCACAGCTGAGCAGGCAGCTCCTGCCATTGCTTCACCCTGTGATCCCTCTGGGCCTTTCTCATGCAGCATATGAAACTTGCACACAGAAAGGAAGTTTTAGCATCTACTAAACCCAGGAGAACCAAGTATCTCACCGTCTACAGTCTTTAGGAGAAGGTCCAAGAGGAGCCACAGTTATCAGGAGATGGAAGCCTGGATTTCAGCTTTGGCTTTTCCATGGGGTTTGTGTTGCTCTGGCCCTGCCTAGAAATATGTCCAAGTTTTTCCATGCATAAGTATAACCTTACAGCGCTGTGCATTAAGAGAGCAGAAATCACTACCAAAGATGGATAAAAAAAGAGGCAATGCCATGTGGAAGAGCATGCAGAAAGGTATTTAACATGCTCTAACAATCTGAAGAGAAAGCTCACACCTACCTGGGGGACTGTCCAATAAAATAAATGTATTGCATCCCTCTGGTCTGTTTCAGAGCGATATTAAGGAAAGGGAGATGGAGTACGTACACTGCATGCCTGAAATGAGCCTAGAACTACTAAATGCCAGAGCAGCATTTCAAAGGCACTGCCCTGTGAAGGGTGAATATCAATGCTGCTCCTGCCCTCCTTTCCTCCGCTCCTCACTCCCACACACATGTACAGATGGGTTGAGGTGCAGGCAGGCAGACTGACATACCTGCAAGAGGCTTTATTTGAAGGGCTTCTCAAGCACATGCCCTGATTATTATACAGCTGGCTGCCCCAATCACTCAGGAAGAAAAAGCACTTCAATGACACATAGAAAAGTTATTTCAAAAATAACAAGGCATTAAACACTTGAGATCAGTTGCATTAATATCAACATGATCATTGCTATTCCCCAGCCTGATCGCCCCCGTGCCCAGGCCAGGGAACCTTGTGTCACACAGTTTCTCCTGTTTTGGTCCCCATTAATGCAGCAAGAGAAACTTGTTTCCTTGGATCTACACTTGGAAGGAGGCTCAGAAAGTTGGCCTCGCCTCCTGCTCTGCAGCCAGGATGTTGATGGCACCACCTCTGAGGAGAGGGTGGATGCACAATTCTGGCAGCCAGGACAGACACCCAGAGCTGCTCTCTCACGGGTGAAGGACCTGGATGGAGGCACAAATGCCCCTTGCAAGATGCCCCAGAAGCTCTAAGATGTTGCTTAGCTTGTGAGACAGCTGTGTGTGGAAAGCCCAGGAGAGACATGAGCATCTCCCTAATTTCTCCATGAACCTGCAGTGCCCCTCAGCCACGCTGCTGATGCCTGAGACCATTTTTGAGGAGCCAGGCTGCATTGCACTGGCAAGCCACTGTGGCACAAAGCCAGCTTAAACCTCTGCTTTCAAGGTTTCACTGCATCCCTGCCTGCAAGCAGCTATTTCCAGGTGCTCTTCCATTTCCCACAAAAACAGTCAGAGTTTACAAGTTTGTTTTCAAGCCAAGGCTAACCCTCAGAAAACACAGAGCAAACCCCACCAGGCTGCCTAGGTTTGCTGCCCAGCACCCACACCCAGAGAGTGGCTGTGCTCTCTGCCCACCCAATGCACCGGTACCCCTCGCGAGCTCACAGCACGGCCCATGACAGCAGCTAGCATCCTGCTACACATAGAGCAGTGCAGTGATTTGCCTGCTCCTTCCCCCACACAAAACAAATTCTCCCAGTGCTGCAGTCCTGGGAGGGAGGCAGAAACATGGTGATTTAGAAGCTGAGACTCCCACAGCAGTGCCCACCAAGTGACCCCTCTTATCTGCATTCCCCGGTCCCCAAATGTGGCACCCACACCAAATTTTATGGACTTCCTTATGCCATTTGTCATAACATGCCCTAATAGAGACAGAACTAACGTGTGCAACACCAGCAGCATCTGAGAGGCTCAGCTGAAGGACCCCCTTGGCAGCAGCGCAGTGCTCATAGGATGATGGACTACAAATCACTTGATTTTATATGGGAAGCTCTTTAGCACGAGGATGGAGGGCTGTATTTACATTGCCACACCATCCCTGGACCATGCAGGAAACTTCCTGCACCACGCAGCTCCCCAGCACCTAAGGACACTGCTGTAAAAGGCTCAGCTTCAGCTCAGCATCTTCAAACACACTATCCTCTTATCTGACAAGCAGGGATCAAGAGTAGCAGGGGAGGAGGATGTGCAAAGGCTGCTACAGGGAGCCCAGTCCTGGCTCCTGGCTCCCTGAGGAGTTGCCAGCCAGCGTCGTGATTGATGCTGTGGTGGTGTGGCCCTTCTCTCAGCAGGCAGCTGCCTCACGCCCAGCCTGTGTGCAGAAACCTCTTTGTCATGGCAGCTAATGAGCAGATTGTATTTCACAGCGCCATGGCCCCGCGCAGGTATGGCCAGTGGCTTTCATCTCCCTGATAGCTCCCATGGGAAAAGAGCTGCCCCGCAGAGCAGGTCATGGTCTGGTCTCACTGGGTTTTTTCGTGTTTGCAGCTTTTAAACCCTCTGTTGCGTTGCACCTGCCTGTGGCTCTTTTAAAGCACAGGAGTGGAGGGAAAGGGGCTGGGGAAGCACCCACTGTGTTTGTGGGTTTGTGCAGGAGCACAGCAGTGGGACATGGGAAATAGATAAACACTGAAACACGTGTGAGAGCAAGGAGACAGCCACGAGGGGGGTGGCATCTAACTTATTGGGAGAGTTATCTTTGAAACAGCAGCAAAATCCATTTTAAAGACCTCCATTGTGGTTAACAGCCAGGGGTTTATTCCTCAAACTCCTTCCCTGGCTTTAATCCTGCTCCTAACTGCACGCCTGCTCCAGCCGCTCCGGGGCCACTGCCCCCGCTGTGCTGGGAGAGCTGGCCATGGGCCACCCACTGCCCCCACTGTGCTGGGAGAGCTGGCCATGGGCCACCCGCTGTCCCTGCTGTGCTGGGAGAGCTGGCCTGCACCCATCCGGCCAGG